TTTGAAATTTTCCAGACTAAAAACTCCTCAGTAGCTACTTAGTTCAGAACAATAGCTTCTGGGAGGATTTTTGAGATGAGCCTTTTTAACAGCATCTTTTAATTTTACCAGACTAAAAACTCCTCAGGTTTGAGATGGCTTTATGACTTCTACTGTGAACAAAGAGGAATACCAAAGGTAACGATATAGGACTAAAAGGAAGACTACTAACAGATAAATCAATAAACACATTAATGCTCACAAATCCAAAAATGAAAAAACTATACAGTGAACTTGAGAGTTAAAATTTTTGGTCCTTCTAGACAACACCTTAGTTTAGCTTACCAGTTGACTACATCGTATTGTAGGATAGCGATTTTAAAAGAAAGAAGAACAAGGACGAAGCAAAGCAGAAAAACATCTTTTCCAAGTTTCTCCATTACAGGTAAACACTGTTGTTTTTTAGTATAGTTTGATAAATGAGCAGGAGTGTTTTATGGGGTTTAAAAGCACGAGGCATAGCCAAGTGTCTTTAGATGTGATAAAACACTGTCTGTGAGTTCATTGAATGACTTCAAAAATTCATGGATAATTAATGAGCATTTAGGGTCCTTATTCATGACATGCTCTTGTACTCTTTTGGTCCTTTATAAAGATTTCAAAATCTTTATATAAAGATATCCATGTTGAACTATTATCAGGTATAAAGATCCATGCACACGATGGATTTAAAGAACCTGATAGGTTTAAATGCTCATTAATTATTTATGAATTTGTGAAGTACTGTTTAATAAACTCGCAGGAGTGTTTTTACACCTGATAAAACATGATCTGCGAGTTTATTGAACAGCTTAAAAAACTGATGATGTATGCTCTCATATTGTACTAAATGTTTTACAAAATGAACCAAGTTTGATAGAGAAAATCCAAGTTAAAGTTTATGCAAATGAAGACGAATCTATATCAGATATAAAATCACCTTCATGGTCATGATTTCTATTGTGTTTCCTTCATGCATTATTAATGAGTTTTCCAACCTGATTTAAAATTCTGCACACAATTTTTAATATCTTGCACAAAATCGAGTCTAACCCCGAGCAACAGACAACTTGAAACTGGAGTATTTCTGGCTTTTTCAACAGTATTCAACGAAATGAAGAAGAACATGGGGTTAATGGCTCCTTCAGTGATTCTTCACCAACAACTGATTCCAAGCCAAGCCCTATACCAGCAAGACAACCTGGAAAAGAGGAACATCCAACAAGAACAGAGGAAAAGACTACACTGAAAGAAAATGAGAAAAGCCGTGGGAAAGAATCAGAGTCAAAGCCAGCCAGAGAACCTATTCCTCCATCATGCAAGGAAAGATTGAATGTGTTTCCGGCAAATGAAGAAGATGTTTTACCGGAGGTAAAGAAAGGCATCCAAAACCATCTACTTTCCATGGGGATGTTGTAGAACCAGAAAGTGTTCTTACTAAAGTAAATAGGATTTAGCAGTGGCACAGAGCCACAGAGTGGCTCTTCATCCACTGTAATTCCAATTGGAATTTAGAAGTTGATTTTTGAGGACGGAGGAAAACTGGAGAACCCGGATTCCTGGATTTCTTAAGGAAAGTCTGAGGAGGATATATTATGTAGTACCAGTAGCCTGTGTAGTAGTCCTCTTTTCCGCTGCCCTCTTCAAAGCGCTGCTATGCAGCCTGCAGTACCAGAAAATAATCCATGCCTTTCAACGTTGAAGAATAGGCCACTTTAGAAACGAGCAAGAGACTGGGACAGGTTTTGAAATTTAATCTCATTAGAAAAAATCCTTTTGTTATAGAGCATCTCAACATTAGTAAGTCTGGGAAATTTGAACATAATTGGACGAAAAGAACCAGAATGATTGGCTTTCAAGTGTGTCAAAAATTTACAAAGAATGTAAAAAAACTCTGGTTCTTTTTGACAAAATGCGTTCAAATTTCACAGACTTCCGGAAACTATCCATATCTCCCCCATGGAGGGTGGGGTCTGAGGAGGGTATATTGTGTAGTTCCAGAAAATATCCATACCTTCCCCACAGAGGGGGATTGGAAATTCCAAGGGGTGGGGAGGATCTGAGGAGGGTACATTGTGTAGTACCAGAAAAAAACCATACCTCCCCCATGGAGCGGGATTGCAATGTCCAAGGGGTGGGGAGGGTCTGAGGAGGGTATAGACCTGACCACAGGTATTTATTTTCCATTTTTTTTTTTCGTTACTAAAGCCTCATCAGATGTCATCATTTCAAAGAAACATACTGTGGACGTTTGAAGATCTTCACATGTTAGTGGGGTCTAATGTGCCTATATTTGGTGGTGGAAAGTATCCAGCGGTTAGTTTGAGACTTAGGTAGGTATGGAATTGTATATATGTATCCACCTTTTGTTTCTGTAAGTCTATCTATCTTTTACCCACCCACCCATTCATTCTTACACCCATCCCATCCCATTCATTCCATTATATCCCTATTTTCATCCATCTATCCACATTTATCCATCCATCCATCCATCTGTCCGTCCGTCCGTCCGTCCGTCCGTCCATCCATCCATCCCATTCATTCATTTATGTATCTATCTTTCCAATTGTATCTAATCGATCTGCCCACCTATCCACCATCTTATCCTACCCATCCATTCATACCTCTTTCCAATTGTATTTATTCATCCACCTCAATTGTCTATGCTATTCCATCCCATCCTATCCGTCCTTTTCTATCCCATCCCACCCCACCCCACCGCTATGTAGGTACGTAGTATATGACGTCCAATTTAATGATCAATTTGTAGGGACTGTGGAAAGCCAATCAACGTACTGACAGGACTGGACTACTGGTTAGACAACCTAATGTGTAATGTCCCTGAAGTAGCAATGTGTTATCATCTAGATGGACTTGTCCAGGTAACATCAGCTTATGAACGGACGGACGGACGGACGGACGGACGGACGGATGAGGGAGGGAGGGAGGGAGGGAGGGAGGGAGAGAGAGAGAAAGGGAGGGATGAATAACTTGTACCAGCTCACTCAAGTGTATGTTTTTTTTTCATTCCAGTATTATGATTTGTTCAAGACAGAGGAACTTCCTCAGCTCGAAGGAAGCAGTTTTTCACCCAAGGTAAATGAAAAGCCTAACAGATATGGTTGCTTATAATGGGCTTTTTTCAAAAAGAACTTGGATGCCAGACTAAAAAGAAATTACAAAAAAAATCACACTATTTCTTGATGGATTTCGTGACATTGGAATTTGTGACATTTGTATTTTGATGTTAGCCTTGCATTCAAGACAATTTTGAGAAGGTTCCATTTAAGTATTTCATTATTTTGCTTTATTGGTGATGTAAATTTGAGTTGTTTTACTACTGTTTCAGGTCGTGAAGGACATTGCGCAGAACGTGTTGTCGTTCATGAAGTCCAACTGCACCCAGGAAGGACACACGTACTGGCTGTTCAAAGGTATTGCTTGGTTTAAATAAGTCAAAAACTTCTTCGTCTGCTTAGTTGAAACTAATAATATTTTTTCTCTATTTTTTTGGTGAAATTTTCAGCTAGTGACAGTGAAGTAGTGAAACTGTATGATCTAACATCCATCTGTGACCAGGTGAGGTGCTACTGAATCGGTTATGAAGAATGATTTGTAAACATAATGGGTGTGAGCTGATGAGGTTATTTTTTAAATACACAAATCTTGGACCCCGGACTTTAAATGCTCTAATTAGCTATTCCAAGGTCAGGGGGGAAGGGTCAAGTTGGCATTGCAGTGCATGGGGGGAGAGGGGGTCAAGTTGG